CTAAAAACAGCCTTACAAAAAACACCCAGCTGTTTTTTGTTTTTTTTTTGTTTTTTGTTTTTTTTTGCAATCAGTTAATTATTACTTTTTTGTGCCTTCTGATTGTAACAAATCAACACATACTGCCCGTTACCTACCAACCTAAGCTGGGCTCCAGCTGGCTTTACTGTTGTATGTACTGTACAATGGCTGCTGGAAAAGGCAAGTGTTTTGTTGTTGAAACCATTTATCATCCAGAAACCACTTGCTACATTCTTGCTGGTTGTGCAGGAGGCTCTACTTCTGCTTTTCAAAGATGTACAGTTGTGTAATTGTGCATCTGTTTGCAGCCATTTTCATGTGCGAGTGTAAACGTTGAGTTATAGCAGCTTACCTGGGTTTAAAGTATCAGAAGGCTCTGTTACATACTGTTATTTTAACAGGCAGAACTGAGCAAACTAAAATCTAATTTATAACATTGATTTTGAGCACAAAATGTAACAAACATGTTTTGCATCGCTCACAAACCGATCCCAACATGTTCAAGGAAGTACAACTAGCTCACCTTTAAGACGTTGGATGCTTGATGACTTATAACTACATGAGCACTAAACTGAAGCTAGAAAAGATCTGCAAACATGCACAGCCCCCTCCACTGCAAATATATGTGCAACTGTAAATGAAAAGAATAGACACACCTTGAAAGACCTGGCAGCTTATCTAAGAGAGGCTACATGTGTAAGACCTCACCTCCCACGCTGCACATTTTACACATTCTTCATGAACGTTTTTTGTTTGTTTGTTTGTTTCTTTGGGTTTTTTTTTTTTTAGAACCATGCTGGGAAAATGAATCCAGAGCTGCATTGTGTCTTTCTGGCAGCATTTTTTGTTCAGCTTTTGATGCTGTTCCATAAGACATTTTCATCTTATGCAATTCATTCTTTGCCAAGTCATCAGTTTTTCTGCAGTCTGATTGGAAGTCATGTCTCTCTCTCTGAGTATTTATGTCTTCATAGGCTAACCATAAAGATAGCCTCTCTGTGCTTTCATTTCCTCACTGACAGTGGGAATCATTACCAAGGGCTTGAGCTCTGGCCAAGGCTCCAAACATGACATATTCCCTGCTATTTCCTGTTACTGGGGATCACATGAGGTTTTAAAACAAATCCAATATAAGTTGTTTGGAGATCAGCCAATTTCAGAATAAAATAAGTTCAACAGTGACAATAATGGAGGTAGGGCTGATCAATAAATCAATAATATATTGTGATAAATGTATGGTCAGTATCGATAGGTAATCCATCTGATAGAATATGCAATAATTTCACTTCAATTTAGTCTTCAACCTCTCATGGCTAGCTAAGCAAAGTTGGTAGCATCAACTCACTCTCTCACTAGAAACCTAGAAACTCGCTCACTCTCTGGTTACCTAGCAACAACCTGTTGAGTAACTTTGAGGAGTGAAAGGAGGAAATGAGAAAAACAACTTGAGAGAAAAATCTGGATAAAAACAAGAGTAGTCATATCACTAGTGTATTTTAGACATTTAAAACAAAAAAACCGAACCATTGATTGTCGCCATCGGCTGAAATGAAGTGCTTATATTGTGAAATTTTTGTCATCCATTTAGTTTAGCCCTAAATGGAAGTGTAGCAAAAGATGGCAGTATATTAAAACATTTTTAATAACTGATATAGAGCAATTAATCAACGGTTTCTCAGAAATGTTAAATTCTGCGCAGCGTTAGCCTTAATATCTTAAGGGTATCATATCAGTTGATATCCATAACTATTGATTAGCTTTTTGTTTTAAATATCTGAAGTACTACCAAACCTTGTGGTGTAACCTTTCCTGTTTTATCTAGTTTTCCCTCCATGCTGTTGTTTATTTTTAAGCAGTTATTAAGCAAAGTGGCGAAACCTTAAACCGCTGCTGCACAAGTTACTCAACAGTCTGTTGCTAGGTAACCAAAGAGTGAGTGAGTTGCTAGGTAACCAAAGAGTGAGTGATTTAGTTGATTCCACTAACTTTGCTTACCTGACCATTATAAGAGGTTGAGCAGCTAAAGTCTATCCTCTGCCTACATCTCCCAGAATCCTTTGTGCTTCTAGATCAAAGTTCAGGGAATTTTATACACATTGAATATTGAATATTCTATCAGACATATTATCTGTTTATTATCATTGATTTATTGTCCAGCCCTACTCCTATGCAGTTTATGTCATCAAGTTGTTTTTCATCAATTGAAATTAATAATTCCATCATTCGTTGACATAAATAAAAAATTGACCTCAATTTTTGGTTTCAGGTTAAATCTCTGGCATTTTAGCAGACGTTTGTACACTGCTACATGAGCATTTTTATTGGCAAAAACAATTTTTAGGTCAGTGTTGCAGTTGCAAAGTGATACAAGTTGAGCGGCGCTCCCTCGGGACGAGGCCTCGGTCCTGGGAAGCGGTGGCCTAGGATCAAGCAGAGCACTGCAGCATCAGGTCGCAGCAGCACTGGGAAACTCCTTCTTTCCCAGCGTGGTCTGTCGGCTGACATTTGAACAGCCATAGGATTAACTCTGTTCCTCCCAGACTTTCGGTGGGAAGCACTAAAGAGTTTCTCTTCAGGAAAGGATTTTATTCGGGGCGGTAACTATTATTAACGAGTGTGATCGGCTGCTAAACAGGGCAGTCCTTGTGGGAATGTTTAGTTGAATCGAATATCCTGTTTCCAGGGGTGTGAAATTATTTTGTTTTTCTAGTTATAGCATGTTGTGTCATGATCAGTCTGATCCTCCTCTTGTAGCTTGGGGGGTAACAAAGCCCTGGTATCTGGTTCTGTAAGCTTGTTATTTGATTTGGACTAAACTTTAGATTTTGGTTTCAACGAGCTTTGTCTAGGGTGGAAGTATTTTTTTTTTTTGCTTGCTTTCAGTGTCTAAACTAACGTTCAGCTGGCAGAACTGGATTTTGAACCTTTGACTTGTAAAGGACTGCACCCAAAGCAATGTTTAGAAAGAGAGAGATATAAGAAAGCACTTCAAATAACTCACTGTACATTGATAAATTGAGTAAGAAGTCTGAAGTTACTATTTGTCATGTTGAGGGGAAATGCAAATTCCTTTGTTAGTTTGAGTTACTCAGTGCTCAAACTCAGTGTATGGGTAATATAATCTGCCTCCATACACCTGTAAATATCACAAATACAGCCTAGTTTATAAACATATAATCTCCTATTTTTTTGTAAAAATGTTTATTATTTGTTCACCTAATGCTAGAGCATCTATTAGCATGTGCTAAAACTTGTATTTGGGTTTAAATATTCTTAAAAAAAAATATTTTTAAGAATCTATGAAGATTAAAACATTCTAACAGTTAACCCTGTAAGTCCTAAACATCCAGATGATTTAGACAATTTTGCGCAATCTGAAAAATCCAAACTGTTTCTGAAAGGGGAGACGTTGCGCTTTCCATCCAATATCAGGTTATTACGGTAATTTCACTCCCTGCGTAACAGGCCGTGAAATTAATCTGAGGGGCGCTCTTTTAGTAGATGGTAAAAATAGCTGATGGGTATTGAAAGCTCCAGTTGTTGTGGATAAATGGGCAATGTATATTTACTCAGGACATTTAAAGAACTTTGTACAATTAAAATAAGCAAAAATATCCAGGCAGAGAGTTTAAATATGGAATATAAAGGGTTATTGCATTTAATGCTTTTCAGCATTTTCTAAAGCTAACCTTTGAGATAGACTGATGTGGGTGGGAAAAAGTGTTTCCATGGCAGTTTCACGAAATACGCTAATTTCGATTTAGTCGAAAAACCACCTCATCCTCTCCCCAAAACAAATTTATTTTTGTAATTATATATTGCGCAATTATATAGCCACTGGTAAAAATACTACATCTCCGTATTTTTGTCTGAGTTTTTGATAGAACGTGCGGGTTTGGGTAATAGTCCACCATTAGAGTCAGATGAGACAGATTCAGTGGTATGTGAACTTTCCTTCCACTGTTTGAGATGGGAACACCCAATGTGGACCATTGCTGATGGTCTGCATGATGGCGTGCATGCCGGCGGACTGATGGACTCCTATGCGCCACTGGACCCTTTTGTTGGCGCTCTGTGGGACCCCCCACCCAGTGCATGATCAAAGCCTCTCCAGACGTCAGGGGACTGCTGGAGAACGCTGCTGTCACCCACCCTTGACTACGCCATCACCATGCTAACTCATATCATGGCATTTCCTGCAGATAGGCCTGGTATGCCCCTGTTTGTCTTCATTCTTTTATTCTAGGGCTCTCTTGGAATGTCGAATTACACAACATGCAAGAGGGAAATATTGGATTTCGCCATCGCCAAAGTGTTTATTTGTTGGGTTTACATTGCTACCAGAAGCGGTCAGCTGAATGCAGGCCTGAGATCCGCCTGACAATTGCCCTGTGGTTTAAGTGGTGGTGCTCATTTAAATCATACAATGCTATGAAGCTTTTAGGTCCCACAATTCACTCACTTTTCTCTTTGTAGTCTGTTGAAAATTGAATAAGCTGTTGTCATTTTCTATCCAAATGTTTTGAGGAATTTCTTCTGATTTCAATTAGGCAATCAGACCAAAGAGGTGAGGCACGCTAAGTCAGCCTTACAGAGGCCTCTTTATGCCACTGTCATAGTTAAAAGGGGCCCAAGGTTAGCATGCATCACACATAGGAAAACACCAGGCAAGCCCCCAGACAGTCCAGACCAGATCTGAAACCCTCCCTGCTACTCGTTTATAAGGCCTCACTAGCACCGCTTTCAAAGGGCTTTCCTTAACTTTTCGAGGCCCCTCATTTCCTCCCGTTTCTCAGGAGGGAAATGTAAGTGTGTAGGAGTGAAAATGTTGCAGAGCCGAGGGGGGAAATGAATGGATGAAGAAAGTGATGTTATTTGTGGAGCTGGGAGGCCCATATGCTTAAAATAAACCTACACAAAATGACTTACTGGAAACTTCTCGGTCGTCTGTTGCTGATTAATGCCTCGTTTTTCTGCAGGCCTTACAGATTGTTTGAGAGCAAGACAGAAAGAGAAAGAGAGGCCTCACTTTTGTTCGACCAAGGTCATTGAGTGGCCAGCTGCAAGGCTCTCTGTCCACCGCTGGGATCCGTCTTCCTATTGGACATCCTGTCTCTGATGAATTGTCACTCTTCTCATTGAGGATCACAAAGAGGAAGCTGGTCCGTGCCAGGACACGCCCACTTTACCTCACCGGCCAATCGTAGCTCTACAGTTGTCCAGCATCCTTTGCACTCAGAGACACAGCTGCCACTGGAGCTCCTCTGCCGGATTTTTTTTTTTGTTTGTGTCCTTCCCTCCATAATCTCTGACTACACACACTTGTTCGCTTGTGACAGGCAGCCACTGCCTTTTGGCCTTGGTCCACTTCAGTCCCCCCTGCCCGGTTCTTCAGCACCGCCCTGAGACATGTGTGTTGTGTAGCAAATGAGGAGGAAAGCTGGGGGAACTTCAGAGTCAACTGTTGGAACAGGACAAGTGCCCCCCCCCCTCAGCAGAGTTATATAACAAAAAGCAAGCTGTATGCTCACATCAAGAATGCCGCTCTGTCTTTTTTGGAAACACAAGTCTGTGTTTTCCATGCATGCTCAGGCGTCCAGAGAAACTGGAAAAGTATCATCTTATCCAGGTATCAGAGTTATTTTATAGTTCAGTGTGAATTGGAGTGTATTCATGCTGGTACTTGTCACTTATGAGTTAACCTAGGCTTCGTGCAGAGTGTCCCTTCTGTGCTCCTCACTGAAATATGTGTCCTTTGAGAACTTTGGGTTGAATTTTTGCATTTAGCTGAAATATAAGATATATAACCTGTTTTTTCCACATTGTCTAACAATAAGTGGGACTAAACATTTAGAAATTTCTATTTTCTAAATGCCAGGTTAAGAACTCAGACATTTTCTTACTTTCAACAGCTCAAAATGTACATTATTCCTTAATATTAGGTGAAGTTTTAAAATGTAACTTGACTCAAACAAACAGTTTGGGTTTCCTCAGAGTTCTCTCAGTAGTTTGCTGGAGTTTTGACCCATTCCTCTCAAGGCAACTGCTTAGGGCCCCCACACCACCAGGGGGCCCTCAAGAGCTCCAAGCTAGTGTCATTAAAAAAAAAAAAAAAAAGAAAAAAAAATATATATATAACATGGATTAATACAAACCAAACACTGTTGCACATGAAAAATTATTTATAATAGATTAAAGGGGCAGTATTATGTATTTTCCAGGCATTTAGTGCCATTTTATAGCACAATCAAGTAGTTGTTATAAAAATGCTACATATATCAAATATGACTTAAAATACATTTTACTTTGTAATTTAACACCTTGAAATTGGGCCTCTGTCTCTTTAAGAAATCCCTCCTTTTTCTGAAACTCTCTTCAGGAAGTTATCACAACATCACTCCTCTATTAACCCTTTAACAACGTTTTTACCAGCGTTGCACTGAGAAGCAGCACCAGGTGTTTGCTAATTGCTTCTGGCTAGTCTGAAGGAGCTGAGGAGGGAAAGGAGCTGCATCTCGAAGAACTATTTGTGCCCAAACCTCAACTTCCTTGCTTATAACTTGAGATGCTTCTTCATTAGTTTCACATAATGTTCTTTCCTCTTGATTCCATCTCTTTTTCAAAGATCAGCAGCAAAACATCCGTGGAACATGATGCTGCCACCACCATGCTTCATAGTAGGGATGGTGTTTTCATGCTTTGCTTTCCTCGTTTTCCTCCAGAGGTAATAAAGATCATTACAGCCAAATGTTTCAGTGCTTTAGCATTAAACGTGGAACATTATGTAGCAACAATTCAACGTTTTATCCTATTGCAGGTCAAAGTTTCCTGGAGTCGTCAGAGCAGACAAAGGAACAGCGAGAAGATACATTTTCAATCACGCATTCATCCGCTCAAGGTAAATACTATCAGTCACCATTTAACTTGTGTTTGCACTGATCTGCCACAATGAAAGATTATGGTGGATCACAAATCATCCTGGTAATTTTTGGGATCAACGATAACATTGTTTTGAGACCATTTTCAAGTAAAGTATTGATGATGGCATAATAATGCAAGTTCCTTCTCTCTTTGAGAGAGAGAATATCTGACACTACATATTTTAAATATCCAAAATAAAATACAACAAACAAAAATAAATGAATAAAAACGACACACAACCAAAATCATAAATAAAATAGATTAGGAAGTCTCTGTAGACAGAATTGCCTTTCAAAAAATATTACTTATCAGAATGGAAATTATTGAGCTCAGTGTAAATTATCATGCGATTAATTAATTGCTTATTGCGATAGGCTTACATATAGATATTGGGAAAAGAATGGGAATAAAACAAATCTTCGCAAATTGATTGAAAGCATCAGAAAGTTAATTGGAAGTAGGGATGAGGATTAATAACATTGTTTATCATTATTAATATGAATTTTAATTTATTTTTGTCATGATGAATTCCAAATTATGATTTTAAAACCGTTAAAAACTGTCTGTATTGTCGAGATTATTAGTTTTACTATTTTCATCACTGTTCAATAAATTATAAAATATTTACACCAGTCACTTCTTTATGTGACTGGTGTCCTAAAGAAGCACAAGAGCAGTATTTGTGTTTGTGGAATACAATTGCACCATAGAGTTACATGACAAAGAAGTGATACATAGTTCTTATCATAGAATATTGTGATAAAATTCTAAATTCTAAATGCTCACTTCTAATTGCAATAAATATTTTTCTCTCAATCCTCACTGAGACATCAGGGTCTTTGACTGGTAATTTTAAGACACAAACATCAAAGAATGTTTTTTTGTTTTGCTAAGAAATGTTTTTACTTTAAAGGGACAGTATTATGTAAAATTAACTTTTTTTGAGCTTTGCATCATGTTATTTTCCGTCATTAAAAGCATAGCAGGAGTGTTGCCGTAATTCTTAATTCATGCCTGTTTGAGAAATCCTTTAATCTCCATGGCAATCATTTAGCTGGGCAAAACACCTGGGTGGTCCTAGCTCCGCCTTCGAGACGCAGCTCCTCCTCTTCAGATCCTTCAGACTAGCCAGCGGAAATTAGCAAACATCTGGTGAAACCGCACATCTGCAGAGGTACTTCTCAGTGAAAACGCTGGTGAAAACGTTGTTAATAGAGGAGCCATGTTGTGATGACTTCCTGAAGGCGGAGTTTCAGAAAGGGCAAGAGTTTCAAGTCAAACTTCTTTTAAGTCATATTTGATATATGCAGCATTTCTGTAACAACTGAAGGTAACATAGTTGTTTAATTGTGGTATAAAAGTGGACTATGTTCTTGGAAAATGCATAATACTGCCTCTTTAAGGTCCTAAAAAAAAAAAGAGTTTTTTCAAAGTTTCCAGAGCTGCGGTACGGTCCTGCCATAAATAGATTTAAGGAAATCCCAACAAGAAGTACGATTTCCTTGACAGGAACAACATCAGAACAAAGCACCCGTCAGGCATTGTCAGCCTGTTTCTTTGTTGCGTTTAAAGAGCTTAACTTGTTGACGACGTAAAGAATCAGAACATTTTTGATGCAGTTCATGGAAGGAGATGTTGGGGCCATAAACCAAGTGGTGAGCATTTCACAGTCTCTCGTTCCAGCACCTTATAGACCCTCCTTTGTTTTAAATTCACGCTCATTATCTCCGCTCTTCGTCTGCCGTCTCTCCTGACTTCATGGTGGAGAATGGGGTAATGTTCTCCGGGGTTCTGGTCGCATTGGGGGATGTGATCCACCGGACGTCAGACTCGTGTGCAGACGTAAAACAGGAGGGGGGTAAATTCTGCAGTGACCGAGGAAAAGAAACCCTTTTTGTGCTCGGGGCCCGAACCAGGCCCGGATGTTGCTATCTATCTCTTCATTGTCTCCTCAAATGTTGGCATTTGCGTTTGAATGATGGCTTTCAGTTTAGCCAAAACATTCCAAAGACGCAGCGGGGGAAACACCCTCCTCTTCCTGCGCTCACTCCGTTTGTTTTCTAATCTTGCCTTCGCAGTTGAGCGCAAATTAGCTGCTTGTACCGCAGATTCCAATCACATCTGACGGATGGATTCATGGTGGGAGTTACTCTGAGGATTTATGCATCCAGAAAAATATAATTAAGAACCAAAGCAGTTGTTGGGAGCAGCTTCAACACGCCTTGCTGGAATCTCCTGGAAAGCCGCTCCGCGGTGATAACAGACCTTTGATGTGTGATAAAAACCTGCCCATGCCGCTGATAGCATGACCAGAATAGCATATGAAAGAACAAGAACACACAAGTCAACATTTGAGTTGCCTTCTTTTTCGGTTCATGAGTGTTTGGCCCACTTCCACGGTGTTGCAAGCTCCCAGAATGCGAGCATGTGACAGAAATAAAAAAAAAAGCAGCTTTATCTCCGTCTGAGCAACACCAGCTATCGTTTAGCTCTGGGAGGAGCGCTCACCACTGTTCACGCCACTGCATTCCAGCCATAGCATCCTCTTCTCTGCTGTCAGTAAACCCAAACAGCCAGCTTGACTCGGCGCACATGGGTAACCTGTAATCAAGCTCTGGAACTGGCATGCCAAAGTAAATCCTGTGTTTATATCCAACAGCGGCCTCCCTCGTGGAGCAACTTCCTTGATCTTACACAGGAAATGCATTACATGATTTTAAGCTGCAAACCAAACTCCTGGATTACAGATCAAGACTGCCATCCCTCTTCCTTTGTCTGTTTCTCTTGATCATTGGCAGCCTGCTTATCTGCGGGCCCCTGTGCTCTGGTGGGTTCAGCGGACTGGTATGCAGCAGGAATCTTTGGATCAAGGTGATTTCACGCTGCTCCACGTTTTCCCAGGGTTTCAGGCTCTGACGTGTTATCACAGGACACATGCACAAACAGCAGCATTGGAGTAAGGCTGTTTTTATCTGTTTAACGCCTCAAGTGTCGGAGCTTTGACTGGCTGGCATGGAAGGCCTCACTGTCATCAGAGAAAAACTTTGACGCAAGGATTTGTCAGCCTCTCCGTGGAAAGATAACTGGATAACCTGACATGAAACCTCAATTCTGAGAGTGGCCTGTTCAAAGACACTCCTTCTTTTAAAGCAGAACTAATCTTGCTAACCCTGACGTTCCCTCACAGACGGTTCTGATTCTCACTTCACAGTCTGCTCTCATAATAGCTCCACAGTGCTTTGTATGTGTGTGTGCGTGTGTGTGGCTTTTTTTCTCAATGAAAGTCCATATCTCATTCAGCCGTTTGGTGGCAGCTGTGAAAGGGGGAAGTTTGCAACGTGACTCAGTTTAGCTCCTCTGTTTGCTCTAACAGTAAAGTTGCCTTGATCTTAACCGGCAAGTTTAGATTCCTGCGTTGCTCCCACAGAGCAAATATAAAATACGCAAATTCGCTTTATACAAAGTTGATGCTTTTTTATTTTTTTAAGATATCACATTTTTTACTTCTGTTTGGGTCTCTGCTGTTTCAAAAACAGCAAAAGTGCTTAAAAAACACCTAGCTATTTTTTGACAATAGGAAAATGTTTTTTGGTGTCTGGAAAACGTTCCGAAGGCAACGTCACAAATCACCTACTAACCCCAGCAAAGCCCAGCCCATCACCTGGCAACCCCAGCAGAGTTCCGCCCGTCACCTAGCAACCCCAGCAGAGTTCCGCCCGTCACCTAGCAACCCCAGCAGAGGTCCAGCAGGTTTGGTCAGCTGGATCTACCGCTGCTGAGAAAGCCAAGGCTCTTGTTGTTGACTTACCATCCAGAAACCACTTACTACATTCATTGTTGCTTGCGCAGTAGACTCCACTTCTGCTTTTCAAAGATGTACAGTTGTGTAATTATGTATCTGTTTGCAGCCATTTTCACGTGAGTGTAAAGGTTGCGTGGACAGTAGGAGCTTATTTTGATTTAAAGTGACAAGAGGGCCTAAAATAATTATTAAACCATTGTTTAATAAAAATGAAGAAAATATATTTTTATTGTCCCACCAAATTTTGGCTGAATTTAGTCATGGCTGAATTTTTATTTTATTTTATTTATTTATGTTTTTGGTTTTTTTTTTTTTAGGAAAAAGATTTGGTCTTGCAACTTTACTACTCTGTAGTCCAGGTAAATAGAGAAAATGGAAGTTTATTGTAACTTGTAGAAAACAAATTATATTTTCTGGAAAAACCTCAGGTCCTACAGTATCCAAATAACTTCTCCTTATAAATACTTTATGCCTGTTAATCCTCTATAAACTTTGCAAACTGTTGTTTTAATTAAATATTTCAAATGAATAAATGTCAAAGAAATCCAACAAAAGCATCTGAGCTTTATTGCAGGTTGATCTGATTCATTATAGTCAATGTAAGACATGAACTCAAGAGGATTTAATTCTCATATTTAATCTAAAAGAGCTTGAACAAAGAATTAGAATGTTTTTCTACGCAAATATTTAGTTTTATCTGTTCAGTTGTGTGAAATATATCAAATTACTGGTGGGAAATGGATAAATAAACAGTTTTTTTTATTTCAGCTAAATGTGATTTTCTCATAGAAGAAAATTTGAGATTTACTGTATGTTTAAAACTTTAAATTTACCAGGACAGCCTCACAAATCTCAGTTTTTACAGACATGTCAGCAAGCATAGTTAGCTTTATTGTTAACCATGAATTTCAGGTGAAAGTTTGCATCCAAGCATCCTCTCATGCAATGATGATGTTACGACTTAAAAATACTCAACACTTTTTGAATATTTTAAGCTAAGAGCGTCATTAGAGAAGTACTTTTAGGAAACGTAGCTTTCTGTGAACTGCTCAATATCTTTATAGCTTTTATTGCATAGTTTAAGAGCTGATATCATTGTAACTTTTTAACTGATACCAGTCATTCCCTGCTTTCTGTTTTGCAAGTTGTGTCTTAAAAGATTACTCTGGAAAAATAGCAACCACTGAAAAACAAAGGATGTGGAACTGAAAAGACTGAGGTTTTTAGGTTCAGGTCCTGAAAAAATACAGTTTATGTCCAATCACATGAGTTCATTATTTCATATTGTAGACATATGAAATAATGTAGACATATTACTGGTGAAATGAGACCTATTTTATCTACATATGATTAAATTATCGTCCGATATTATGCAGTTTGTCTACAAATGAAACCTCAGTAGTTTGTGAGGTTTTTTTGTAGTGAATGTGAACTTTATATTGGCTACAAATGTCAAGCAACTAAGTCAATAATTAACTGAAAAGTATTTGCATGTCCTCTTCCGGAGCAGGTTGGCTTTTCAGATAAGAGATATTTGTGCGCCTCCTGGCCAATTAATGTCCTGAGAAAATGAAGAACAAAATGCTGCATGGACAGTGAGAGTTTCCTGTCTTTGGTTTCTCACAGACTTCCACGGTTACCTTTGACTTTTACTGAAAAGCATCTTCATGAGAGACATCTCAGTTGAACTGTCACATAAAGCTACCTAGAACAGAGACTGAATACTCAAAAGACATTAAAGATTAGGAAGTAAGCGTATTTATTTATGCTTTCTTAAATTCCACTTGTATTTTCAGAGTAGATGAGTGTACATAGTGTACATGCATTGGGATCTTGAAAGGATTAATCAGATTCAAAGGTCAACTAACATGCTTTATGTAACAATATTGAACCTAGATGAAAGAATTTACTTTATTGGGTTGATATTTGTCTTTGTTTCTTGCTTTTTCTGTCGAAACAGGAACTGTTAAGCATATCTGGAGTCTAAAAACTCAGAATGACATTCCAAGTTAATGAACTGCTTGGTCCAGATCAGTGTGAGCTGCAAAATTAATACTGCTATTACTTAAACAAAATTACCTGATAACACACTGGATAAATTGAACGTTGTTTGGAGTTTCTGGTCTGGAACAGCATCAATCAGCTAAGGAGGTTTTACCTTAGAAGTCGACCTCGGTCATCCACACCCAACTTAAGAATGTTTAATTGTTTAAAGTGTTTAAACCATTGGTATGTGTTAAATATTGTTGCCAAGAGACCAGGCTAACGCCGATTAGTCACACCAGCTGATTACTTAAATTTGTAAGCATTCAAGAACTGTAAAAATGGGAAGGTATGGTACAGTTACAGCAACGATTTAAGGAGTTACAAATCAACACAAAAAGCCAATTAACAGTTTAATCTGTCTCTATTACCTCAGTTTATTAATAAGGATACGTTGCAGATTGAAACGAGTGAGAAGTGTTCCATTTGTACCTGGAAGTCAACATTTCTGAGTTGTTGGTTGGAAAAATCAACTGAAATTGAAAGAATTGGAATTTGTTGCTGGGAAGTTGAAAATTTTTCACCTGCACCAACTCAAAATCCAATATGGCTGCCAAACATAAAATGCACTGATACCTGCGACACTTCCTTCACACATTTTTGATGGTTTTTATCAGAAATTGCACCGCACAGAATCTATGTAGAGAGGAGCACTGTCACTGGTTGTATTGCTAAAAGTAGACTGCTAACATGGTTATCTTGGCAACTGCGTGTATAATAGGTCTTGGACGGACAGATCCAACTTAATTGTGTTTTATTTACAACTCTTGTTCCAAAACCAGCGATAGCAATGTGTTCCTTTGCGTTTTATGGATTCAAACAGTGCAGAGATGTGTTCATAATTGTCGTGGAAAAAATTACTTTAACAGGAGATGAGAAGAAATAAGAAATGTATTAAAACCTTGCAAGGTGAGAACAGAAATACAGAGTCAAAGGAGTCTGTCAGTCTGACCAACAGTGGATCTTCCTGTTATAGGTTCTGGTCAGAGAAGAGAGACTTGATTGGACAATTGGTGTGAATCCCTGATTGATATGTATCAGGGGTTCTGTGGAGCCCAACACAAATGGTCTGGCCATTTGTCTATTGTTAAGGAAAGGAGGTTGTTCTTTCATGCTAAAGAGGGCAGATAGGTCCTGGGTTGGGGGAGTAATACTTAGTCTTCAGGATCAACGGCGTTTCCTGCTGTTAAACGGCACTGTAGACGTCTATAGGAGAGCGGCTTGACCAGTCTCATGATGACATCATTCAGACACATGATCTCATCATCAGACACGATCTAAAGCACAAAAGGGGTGAGGAGCACATCAAAACATTTTCCATTACAGCATCATAGGTGGTGTTTAAATGATTTAATGAGATATAAACCAACATCAGAGATACTGTGACCTGTACATTAATAACCATGCTGGACTCAATTTGTTTTTTTTGTGTTTTTTTTAGCTAAAATTTCTGAGTTTCTTGTTGGACTTCAACTGAAATTACACTGAAAGTTGGAACTTGGTCTTGGGAAGTCAAAGTTTTTCCATATAAACAAATATGGCCGCCAGGCACATAAAAACTCCGATACCTGCAGCAGCAACATGATTCAGATGGTTTGTGTCTTGTTTGTGAAATAATTTATATAAATACGGTTTTACAGCATGTATCTGTTAAATGGTGCCAAATATTTTGGAGCATTTACATTAAATCGCAGCTAATATGCGTCTTAGAGAGAGACACGGTTAAGCACTGAAAAATAAGGCCAAGTTTATCATCTATAGAAGGTGTACATTAATTTGTTGCCAGGAAAGTATGATAAAGGTTACAAGAGAAGAAAACGGAGAGAACATAAAGCTGAAAATCTTTACGGTTCAAAAATATAATTGAGATAATTTTACTCTATTTAAAAGTATAATAATCCAATTATTGGCATATTTTTTAGCTTAAAACTGCAATTTTTATTTCAATTTGTATTGTATTTTATTTTTATGCCATGTGACTTTTTTTTCCTATTTTGCACTTTTTTGTATCCATTACTGTGTTTTATTTTTGTATTTTATATTATTTATTTTTCTTATCATTTGTGATTATTTCTGTTGTATTATTATTTATGAATAATTGCAGCATATTTAAATTCTCTTTTTTTTTTGTCTTTTAATATTGTTTTGTTGTTTAAATTATAGGAGGTGACCTGGAGTGTCAAGAAAGGTGCTTACAAATAAAATGTATTAATTTTTCTATATTTTTGTCCAATTTATTTACTGATATGTGCACGAAATGATTTATTATGTTTGTTGTTTTGTTTTTTTTGTTTGTTTTGTTTTATTATTTTTACTTTATTAGATCTTTTTTGTGTATCTTGATTTGCTTTTATTTTTTCATAAGACCGGATATCCCGTACACGGCTTTTACTTTGAAGGTGTCTCCGGAAGTTGTGCGTCGCTGTAGCTGCGTCCTCTGCCTGGAGGAAGGAGCAGACCCGAGAGGCAGCAGGTCGGGAGAGAACCTCGTTGCCTCAGCCTCATGCTTCGTCTCGGGGACTTCTGCTGCTCCGGTCGGCTGACGACGTTATTATAACAATATTTATTTATTATTATTTTTTATTTCTATCACTTTAATCACACAAAATCAGGAGAAAAGCGGTGGAAGAGCAAAAAGGGGGCCCTAGTCATGGAGCTGTATTGCCTGGAGTCGGACACAGCCGTGAAAGCCCAGCCTGACCCAAACATCCTCTATGATGATAGAGTGCTGCAGAGTTTATTAACTATTGAGGACAGTTTTTTACCTCAGTGTTCGTATTTCCAGCGGGTCCAGAAGGACATTCAGCCTTATATGAGGAGAATGGTTGCAGGCTGGATGCACGAGGTTGGTGGGAACTTTAAAGTTTAGCTAACTTCTGTCGCGTTTATTTGCGTGTTTTAGCTAAATGTGGCTTTAAATTCAGAGATGCAGTTCAAAGTATAGCCGATCTTGGTGTTAACCTGTTTTACAATTGAATGAGAGTGACTCACCAAAGGCGTGGGGGAGTCGGAAATTCCAGAAAAATCAGCCTCAATGCGCTTAGCTACTTATTTACATTAGTTTACAGCTACACTGTTGGGAATTTTTGCTTCATACCTATCTCAGACGACAGCTAAAGAGTTTATCTTAATTTACATAATCGAAAATCTGGTATTTTCCATGTTCACTAATTATTACGAATTTTTAAAGGCGACTCAAGCTGCAAGCCATGAAGCAGGCAGAGCCGCTTTCAGTTTTGTGAACAGAAATATGTCGATTTTATTCAACTTTCATTCGATTCGACCGTCGGAAACAATTCGATTGAGTGTTTTATTTGCATCTAAACGACTTTTGGAGGATTTATCTATCATAGTTTTTATTAATGGAGAAATCGACAATGAGGAAGAGGATTCGAAAAACGAGAAGGGGGTTGCAGAACGACTTCCTACTGAGCTAATTTGCTTGAATTTTTTTGCCCTTCATTCAGTAAAATGGTGTAGAAATTAGCGATTTAACCTTAAAAAAGAAAATACCTCAATCATTTTCATGCAAGTCCTCTTTAAACCTATTTGTAAACAGGCCATGCATAAGTTATTACTAATTCTTCTCGTTAGAAATCAGTAATACAACTTTAAACACTTATTTAGTTTTGAAGTGCAGAATGATAAATTCAAAATCTTGTTTTCTGTTTTTTTGTGGTCAAATATGAACTATGAAAAATTAAAATTAGATTTAATCTTTTTATATTTAAAACAGTAAATATCAAACAACAACGAAATGGCCCATTTTCTTATTCTGACAACAGTTTTTACTAGTGTATGTTCTTCAACATATGACGTCACTTTTTGCATATATTCTGATTGGGCCCACATATCAACATATGAAGTTTGAAGATCAAAAACTGGATCAATTATTTTATATGTTAAAGTTTCATCAAGTCCCAATTGGGGTTTTTTTGTTGTTGTTGTTTTGTGTGTTTGTTTGTTTTCCCATTAGTTTTGGGGAAATATTTCAATAATAAAACTTGAAACACTTATTTATTATTGTTTGAGTTTTAAGCAGGAAACATTTAAAGCAACCAATATTTTAAAGTTTGCCCCTAGTGGAAGTAATCTGAATTACACTGTGATTGAAGAACGAAAAGCGACTTCACTTTCAGACCAAACACTGTCTGTCACACAACTTCACTGCAGTATATGTTACATTTTTTAGACATCATTAACCATCTAGATCGCTGAATATTTAAACCCAGTTGATTTTCTTTTAGAGTAGTCGACACTAAATTTAATTCAGCTGGATTTGTCTTTAAAAATGTCCTTCTAAGTTTCTTCTTCTCTGTTAAATTCCTGTCATTCCAGGTTTGTGAAGAGGAAAACACCAACCAAGACGTCTTTCCTTTAGCCATTAATTATTTGGACAGATTCTTAGCAGTGATGCCTACAAAAAAAAACTATTTGCAGCTCTTGGGAGCTGTGTGCATCTTCCTGGCCGCCAAGCTGAAGGACTGCAGGCCGCCATCAGCGGAAAAGCTCTGCGTGTACACAGACAACTCCATTACACCCCGAGAGCTGCTGGTAAGAACCAAGGTTTCATTCATTCATCCATGCATTCATGTGAGCCTTTAAAAATGCAGCGTCACATTCTTTTTTTGGAGTATTTTATACTGGTAATGGCTGAATTAGTCTCACAGGAAGTATCCAATTTTCATCACAAGTGAAACTGTGCAACACAGCCACATCTGTGCTGTGCATTCATGCAGACTGCAGAGGCGTGTGATGCCATCTAGTGCCAACAGTGCAATATAACAGAGTTTTATCTTTGCAGTTCTCTATGTTTTTATAGTTTCATTTTAACACAATACATTTTTTGGTTAATCTTTTGTTTTGCATAGATGCAAGGACTATTTTTAACAAGAAAATGGCCGTTAGGAGATGACAGATTGAAGTAGAGGTCGTGTGAGCTGTTTTTAGCGCTCAGGAAGCGAGAACACCAACAGCAAAATCTCTTTACTGCTCATCTTGCAATCACTGATCTTTCTTTTAACGTAAGCACGTAAGATTTGGGTTATGCACAGGAAACCCACGCAAATGTGAATGGTTACCGGCGTCCGAGGTGACAGAGACGCTTTTGGAAGAGCGGCAGCGGGGACGGCCCCCGCCTTATGTCGGGGTTTCACTGCTTACTACGTTTGCTTTGTAGGGGATTTGTTTCACCGTAGGGGAAGTTACAAGTCACACGTATCTGCTTCTGATCATCGCTATGTTTAAATGTCGAGTAGTTTTATCTGAAGTTAGCTGTGTAGTTTCTAGTTCTGATTTTAGCAAATGAAATTAAAATATTTTCCTTTGGCTTGTGCTGCTAATTAGCCATCTTGGTTGGAAACGTCTGAAGATGTCTGCCGGCTTTTAGATGTTTGGCCTTCAGACTAATAAAGGAAAGAAAGATGGATGTTTTTGTTTTTACATTTAGCACATTCAAACATCACAAACTGCTCCATCAAGACATTCCTGGAAGCTTGTTCTGTCTTGTGACAGTGTTTTGCACTCACTAGCTGTTTTCATGGAAACATTAAAGCTTCAGTTCTTTTGACACACCAAGCTAATTATTCTGGTTTACTCAAGCTATAGTCAAAGAACGCAAGCAGCTAATTTAACAATCAGCCATAAATGATCAGAGGTGACTCTGATTTCATCCACTTTCACTATGTTTTATGAACATGGAAGGCCATATTGGATTTTGAAGTGTTGGTAAGTAACCTCCAAGTGTTTGTTCTGTTTATTCCAGATAAATGTGTTTCTTTACTGTTCAGAAGAAAGTATTTGTTTTTTGCTGTTCTGCTCTCCTTTACGATGCACCAATCCACTTTTTCCACTTTCATTACCGATATCTGAGGTTTAGTATCGGTTGATACCGATCCGATACTGAAAACTGTGCTGCATTGATGCAATGGGTGATTTTTTTTAAGCACCAATATAAATGTACTGAATCACATATTTATTGTATAACTTTACACCAGAACATCACACTTAAATATGCCAATAGCTTCAAAAGTTTGGTTAAACATGTAAAGAAAACTTTCATTTATTCAATCTGTGCAATTAGGACTAAAACAGTCGATTTAAAATAAATAATAAAGAAGCTGAAACTGACAGAAACAATAACTTCACTACATTGGTCAAACATGTAAAAAATAAGCTGCAACAAACCTTTCAAATGATTCAAAACACAACGTAAAATAAATAATGAAACAAGACATCACTCAGCATAAAGCATAGAATTAGACTGAATAGATTTGCCCTTATTGTCACCAATACTAGAACTAGAATTGTTTTAAAATATTGGGATCGATACAGACATTAATATCGTATCGGTGCATCTCTACTCTCCTTGCAGTTTGCTAACCGTAATTTTAAAACCGCATTACATTAATAAAAGTGTTTATTAGGTTTTCCTTTAGTTGGGAAGCCGTCTATGTCTTGTAAGAATACGGAAAGTGCAATAGCCTTCTTTCAGCCAGCTGACCAGCAGTGTGCACCTACAGGTCACAGAGAGAAAGCGCTGATTGCTTTGTGCTCCATATACGAAGATGGAAACTTTCATTTTTTATCAAACTACAAATCATTAAAACTTTGGTTTAGCTTAATACGGGAAACTTAATGGTATAAAGGCTGCACTTTAGTATATTGTTTATACCAGTAACAGTCTTCAGTAGATTATGGTTTTCCTTCTTGAAAAAGTGCAAACAAAAATGGAGTAGCATAAATTTTTAGTGATTGTAGGATTTCTCTTTGTCTCTGCTAAAAGACCACGAGATATCTCACCAACTATCGCTAGACTAGCACATTTGTTTTGGTTCTTTTTACCCAGAATTCCCTGTGCTTTAGTACACTTCCTGCTTTTGGAGGGGTCTCCGGTCCACTTGGCATTCACATATATATTTGAATCACATCAGAGTTCACTTTAATTGAACTGAGCCCTAGGATTTTAGTCGGACTAGAGTTAGTTTTTTGGTCTGCATCAGAATTCGATTGTGTATTCATACCTCCCCAAACTAACCAGACTTTCTAGGCAAACCGGTGTGAACCCTGATTAATGAAGGCCACTAATACCAGAAGACATAAAAAACCGTCAACAAGTAGACGTCCATTTAAGTTACATATTAACCAATCAGAAGCTTGCTGACATGTGACATCATCTCTGACTCTTTTAAAGTGGTTTAATCTTAGTGTATATAAATGTCTTTGAAGAAAGTAATCTTTATATAAACATGTATTGTTAAGATACCATAACAGTGGTAACATTTTAAAAACACAAGATAATTAATGATCCATTTCTAATCTTGATACTGAAAGTTAAAGAGACGATTGAAAGGTTGGTAAATCTTTCATCTCAGAGCGCAGCAAAGCGGAGACACAGGAAATTAAAAGGTGAGAATGCGTAGACCTGTTTTGCTGCTACAAAGACCGACTGTTGCCTGTGCAGTGTGAACTCGTTGTAGCTGCTTGAGGCTTGTGACAGGAAGCTCGGCGCTCGCTGTCTCATTGGCAGGGCCTCTAAGCAGGGCAGAGCTCGTCACATGCCGGCGATATGAACACAAAGGATGCGAGGAATGAGAAAGGCACGCAGATAATAAGACACAGTGAGGAGAGATAAAATGAAGAAATGTTGCTCATCTTACAGAGCTATTTCCTCTGGGAATAAGGACTGGCTGTGATCTTTTTCATGGTCAATGAAGTCATGGCAGCACGCCACTGGAGCCCGACTGGGTGGATTTTGTCTAGAATAACAGTTTTTAAAGGGGTCATATAATGCAAAATTCACATTTTGAACTTTTTTACGCTTCCGTTTGGAAGCGTAAAAACTTCTAAAAGTGTAAGAACTGCCCAAGCACTTAAAAATAAAACACCCAGCCATTTTTTTGGCAATAAGTTGGTGTTTTTTGGTGACAAAAACCTTCGGAACGTAACGTCACAAGTCAGCAGGCACTACGCCGTTACCTAGCAACCCCACCCCGTCACCTAGCAACCAAAGCAGATCTCGAGTCCGTTTGGTCAGGTGGTTTTACCGCTTACTAAGCAGTTAAGCTACTGATGAGTAATTAAATGAGCTTGATGATATCTATTCTGATGATTTTTTTAAAATATTTTCGAAGGAGAATTTTGTTTCAAATTCAACTCAAAAATACTTTGTTTATCCCAAAGGAAAATTAAATGTAAATTCAAAATACTTCAGTAATTGTAGATAGTTATTATTACAGAAATGTCATGATACTTTTTTGTTTATGGTTTCTATTGTGTTTTTATTTCCAATTTATTTTATTGCATCTTATTTTGAATATTTAAAATGCCTTCCAATTCCAGTGTTAAGTGTTTTCTACAATATTAAAGTTTAGTAGTCTTACATTATTACACCATTACCATTGAAACAATAGTGTCATTGTTTATCGCAGTTATTCCTGGATCAATCTATTAGTATTGTTTGCATTCCACAATGGCTGCTGGAAAAGACAAGTGTTTTGTTGTTGACTTACCATCCAGAAACCACTTGCCACATGTTTGCTGGTTGTGCAGGAGGCTCCACTTCTGCTTTTTAAGGATGTATGGTTGTACAGTTGCACATCTGTTTGGAACCATTTTCACGTGCGAGTGTTCAAAAAGCTCATTTCTAAGAATTATTTTGTGCATAAATGTAACAAATATGTGTTTTATCGCCCACAGACCTAATCTAACCTGTTCAGAAAGCACAGTAAGTCACCTTTAACTGCCTGTTCTGTGTTTGTTTTTTTGTTTTTGTTTTTTTTTATGCTTTAGGAGTGGGAACTGGTCGTCCTGGGGAAGTTGAAGTGGAACATGGCCTCGGTTATCCCCAATGATTTCATAGAGCACATCATGCGCCGCCTGCCCCTTCCCAAAGACAAGCAGGCGATGGTCTGCAAACACACGCTGACATTCATCGCCCTTTGTGCCACAGGTACCCTCCTCTCCATTGCTTTTTGTTTCTCACACGTTTGCACGCTCAGTTTGCTCCCAGAATATTCCCACAGATCCAAACATTCTCATGGAGTGAGTCATCTGTGACGACTCTCGTCTCTGCAGGCTAATTTATCTTCCGCCTTGTTCTTCTTCACAGCCGCTTAAAGCGTTCGTCCATGTTTCTCCGTTAATATCCGATCTGTGCTGGGATTGTAATTATTTCACTAGCTCTGCTCCGGCTCTGGCCGTCCTGTGTTGTTTGTTGACAGGGAAGCTCCCAGGTTTAAAGAGTCAGGCTGATCTTCCTTCCTCCTCCCATCCTGGCCTCATGTCCAAAATAAACTCTGAAAGCTGCGGGGAGAAAACTTCCCCCCTTAGGCCTTTCCTTTATACTTTCATGGGATTCCTGTTGCCTATACTTGGAATCCCTCTAATATTTTCATATCCTGGAAAGAAATGCTACTTCATGATCATCTAGGAGGATGTCACAAGACGGCCTCTGCAGCTAATTTGATGAAGGAAACAAAACAAGGAAGGTCACCTGGGTGCGATAAAATCCCTCACAAACGTCAGCGTCTCTTTTAATGAGTCTCATGCCCTGCTCGGCTCTGCACAGCTTTCTGTGTCACTTCTTTATGCATTTGGGTGTGTTTCAGCGGTTGCTTCTGCTATTCATAAGCAGCTGCTCGTATCAAAGCACAAAGCAGCCGCAGTGGGGGGAAAAAAGGGGAAGCCTGCTGCGGTTTAGCTGTAATGTAAATGTTTGGAGTTTTATACAGAATGGAGATGTTATTCTTATATTAGTCGCAGCTCCTCCTTTATGGACAGCTGGACTGGACGGTTTAATTGAACCCATCAGAAACCCTCTTCTCTTGACATGTTCTGCTGCAGGTAATGGGCTGCCTTCAGTTGGCATCTGTACTGTTAATTCACAGAAATGGGCTTTAGAGAATGAGAAACGAGAAGTAAGAAAACTGCTGACCTGCTGGTGTGAACATCAGATTGTTACAGCACATTGCACAACTGTTCACACCCTTTAACCTCTCGCATTCTGTCACATTTCAACCAAAACGTCGACGCATTTTTAAAAATTATTTGCAGATAAAAAATGTGCGTTTGTTTGTGGTATTTTTGAGATCAATACATCAACCACTGCCATATTTGAGTATACATACGTCTCACAATGACACTTAATAGCTTGAAATGATAAAATTTTAAATAATCACTTTATGTTTTAAAATATTGATGCAGGTCCTTAATAGTTTTTTTTTCTGTAATATTTACGCTGTATTTCCACAAAGAATGACAATAAAAGTGCCAGTAATATTTTAAAATAGGACATTTGATCCTTCTTTACTCTAAAAATAGAATTAAAATTCTGTCAAAAATAAGTGGATATTGTCTAAATTTATGAGTTATCCTTCTTCAGAAAATAAAAGTGGAACTAGTAACAGAATTATTGACTTAAATCCAGCTCCTATATCTCGCTATTGATATTTTCTCTAGAAAATAACCAAAAATACTTTTATTTTTTTCCTTTGTGATGATGATTATTCTCTAAAAAACCTTTTGCAGAACATCTGTATTTGCACTGAGTCGGAGGGCTCAGGATTGCATAAGAGAAACTTTAAATTGTTTCAGGTTTGAATGAGCTGAGAAGGGATTTCACTTCATCCACCCAGGTCTGCTTTAGTTAAAGTTTCTCAGACTTGCATGTGGACTCAGGGGAGTCATGCCTGGAGCTCATTGCACAGCGAGTGGGAGAAATTCCTGCTCTGCTTTTGCAATCAGAGCGGAGGTTACTAAGAAGGAAAACCCACACAGGTTTGTTTTAGCTGTGTCTGTTGAAATCCAGACTGTGGGAAAAATTCAGAGCGTGCGCATCAGAGATGATGCAGTAGGGCTGGGTGATGGGGCTAAAATTTAAAATCTCATAACATCCTTTTTTTTTTTTCTTGCTTTCTTTTCTAAAAAAAAAAGAATTACAAATTACAGAAAATATTCTCAAAAAGTGACTTTTATTTCCATCATCCACTCTGTGAGTTAGACGACGGTTACTAGGAATCTTTGTTTAATTACGAGAATGTAGCCATAACATTAGCAAAATAAAGACATCATTTTACCAGAAAAACTGTAAAAATGTTTGTTTTAATGAGAAAAAAGCTTTGAGAAAGTTATCAGAATTTGACGTGACCAACCCAGTCATTTTTCTTTTCGCTTTAAAATCCTGCTACTGATAATAATTTGATGCTGATCCTAAAAGATTAAGTACTTCCTTATCTGTAAACTCATACCAAAGTATAACTCAACATTCCTCATCTTTTTTATTATTATTTTTCATGCTTTTCAAGTTAATACTTCATTTTCCTAGTATTACAACTTTATTCTGGTAATATTAAAACTTTATACTCGTATTCAGTCCTAAAGTTGACCTGAATTTAAAGCCCAAAGAAATAGAAGCTGTAAAACACAGTTGTGAAACAAGATGGCCGCCTTGGTGTGCTGACATCACTCATTTTAAACTCGGAATCCAAATAATGAATCAAATTATGATTAATTGTAGATTAATTGTTTGTTAGATTAAAATTAGTTCCAATTGATTAACTAATGACCCCCGTTACTGTCTATTAGTGTTGCTGCTGGATGCCCTCTGCCATCCAGCAGAGGGCACCATTGGTCATCCTTAAGTGCCTTAAGTGGAGCCAATTAATACAGAAACAAAGATGGCGAAATGGTCCAGTCGTTGTAAAATGTATTTTATGCGGTTCTTTGTGGAAATATAAACGCTTTACACGCTAATTGAGTTTCATAATGTTTTTTTATTTTTTTTATTTAGCAAATTATAAAAAATGTAGCCCTTTATGTTATGGAAAGATGGTAGAAAACCTTAATATAAGTGATCATTTTCTTTTAAAGAAAATTGTCGCTTATCAAATTATCGATAAGATCAACCAACTTTAGATTAACTCTTTAATCAACAATGCAAAAACAACATTTTACCAAGTATTTTTGGTCCAGATTGTAGTGCAAATAGCTTAGTACACTAGAAATAAGGCAAAACTAACTTATAAGAAACTTTTCATCAAGATATAAGAGCTTGTTTTTAGTCGAGTCTTAATATTGATGAAAAACTACTAGTTCATCGGCAAGAAGTTAATGTTGGTGTCAAAAACCTTCGGAATGTAACGCACTGTGCCGTTACCTAGCAACCCCACCCCGTCACCTAGCAACCCAAGCAGAGCTCCAGATTACTTAACTTAGAACATGGGAGAAATATCTGGTACTTTCTCATCAATATTAAGGAAATATTGACTTGTAGAAACTTGTATTTCTTGTTGAAAAGTTACTTCTGAGATAGTTTTGCCTTATTTCAAGCGTTCCAAGATGTTTGCACTAGAAACCGAACCACAAATACTTTGTAAAATATTGTTTTTGTGATGAATAACTTGCATCCCGACTCTGAATAATGGAAACCCAAGTAGCGGGTTGGTTGAGTTATCGTCCAGCCCTGTGATTGCATCACTTCCACCTGCTGTGGTTTCATTCAAACACCTTTCCTTGACAGACGACCGTCTCGCCATGAACCCTCCTTCCATGATCGCCACCGGCAGCATGGCGGCTGCGATCTGCGGCCTCCAGCTGGACCACAGCGACCAGAGGCTGAGTCGGGACAACCTGACCGACCTGCTGGCCAAGATCACCAACACTGAAGTGGTAAGCATCGCAAGAAGGCAACAGTTATTAGCTGGGATTGCAATATCGCACGCAAGCAGCATAAAAGAGTCTTCAGTAAACAACAGTGACGACTTGAGTCGCAGCAGACTGAAGCGATTTGCTCTTCATGGAGAGAGAGAGAGCGTTCTGGTTGCTGGTCGGGCAGCTAGACTGCTGCTATAAAGAGCAGCGGCTGGGGGAATGTCTTCTTAAAACTCAGAGCCCACATTCTTGTGGTGGGACGCATGCAGTTTCTTTGCATGCCTCCCACTTTAGCTGTGGACCCCTCCTGGTGGAGGAATATGTTTGCAATGAAGGCGAAAAAATTTAAAGAAACATCCTCAGTGGGTGAACGTTGTCCAAACTGTCGTCGTTCTGTTAATCTGAGCAGAAACTAAAGCAAATCTAAAGTTTGGGCAGTAATTAAGACCATGTCGTGTTTTTTATGCCGTCTCTGAAGGTTTGGGCTTTTATTTGACCGATTTCTGGGTTTTAATCAGTCAGACGTTCACCAGTCCATCTGGTGGACTTTATTGTCGTCCATCCACGTTTTCCTCCAGGAATCTCTTTTTGCCCATCCAACAGTCCGTCCTCAGTTTGTGTCTTTCTCTTTTTGTTCATTATTCATCGAACTAGCTTTCCTTCTTTCTTTCGTCCATTTTGTCGTTTGTTTCCGTCTTTGTTAAATCGT